GGTGTCTTTAATGTTCTCTACAATGTTACAAAGATCTTCTTTCTAGCAACTTTTGTCGATATAACTGTGATGTAAAGCAAAACAACAGTATGATAAGAGTAAATTCATAGCTTTTTAATGTTCTGTAAGAGATATGAGGTAAGACTTTTTTAGACAATCATCGTTCTCGAGCTTTGTTTCTGTCTCATATACTATACAAAACATTTTCGTACTTGTGAACAACTAAAGATGAAACTTGTTCTTCTCTTTCTGGCACTCGTTATCGCTCTTGCAAGCGAAGCTAATGGGACGATGCATGAGAATGCTCAAATGTTTCTCGCAGGAACAAACGATTTATTGGACAAATTAACTTTTACATAGAGGAAGACGATTGGGGCGTTCTCATTACTGGTTCTGTTGATCGTCTGAGACCTCTGACAACATTTTGAAGAAGTGTCAGTTCAATATACTTCATCAAAGTGTAGTATTTTTTACCATGGTTCTTCATCTTTCCATAAAAACGATGATAAATCGTTATAAGATCAACCCTCACTTTTCGAAAATTGTCTTGTCCGGCAGAGAATTGCCAGGTAATAATAATAAAAATATTAAATATCAGCTCATTCGGATCTTATTTGAGTGCGTGGCACGGTCTGTAACATGCAGTCTCCTTGGAAACTAGGTAAAGTCTACTTTTCTCCGCGAAGAAACGAAATTTTTCGAAAAGGTTTAGGATAAATTCGTACTAGATTTTGAACAAAATGGTTTTTGTTCAGCATCGACATGCTTTATGTACCTCTTCAGAAAAGTTAATTTAAAAAGTCTCCATAAGGTTATAATCGTACATATGCACTTTAAAATGTGTAAAATCGACAGCATGTCCCTCCAGCGACGTCAAAATACAGGTAGACATCCATTCCGGGGGCGTCAAAGGAATGTCAACCATTTCTGTTTATCGTATTTGTATAACGAGAACAGTTCGAAATTGAGCAAGTAAACTGTGTACAGACAATCATTCATATCAAAATATGATGTCTTTTTTCTAGAGAAGTGGGGTCCGAGCACACACCCCGATTCTGGGCAGTGTTGCTGTATTACAGATTCTGTATTAGCTATTTTCTAGAGTTGAGGGATATGATAATTTTGAGGGTTTTGCTGTATTACAGATTGTTTATTCACTAATTCTCTGTAGAAACCTAAGATACCGAAGATACCCTAGATACCTAAATACCCTTTTTATAGGTACAATTTGACAGAATTATTTACTTGTACTTTGCACAAAGGCACAAGAACTACTTCATATAAGTCAAAGATTTGTCTTGAGTATACGGAAATTACAATTCCTCTTAATTCTGAAATTCCTTAAAGTATCTCAGAATTCCTACCACGACAAAGTACAAAAAGGCTTCGAAAATCTGGCATTACTTTGCAATTCCTATTCAGCAACCACTCCAGAAAGCGAAACACTTTTACTTATTTCCGGGTTTCGACAAGTAGATGAGGGAAAACCCGACGAACCCATAAGTTCTCAATTATTTCCCTGGACTAATCAAAGCATTGGCTGATCAATTTTTCGATAGTTAACCAGTCTTCCCGGAAAAATCTTTTTCCTTCGTACTTGGTGGATGCCACAGGATGTTAAATTTGCCAGGGAACGGATAATCACCGGCATTAAAATCCTCGTATACCTCAACTCTATAGAAAACAGTGAATACAGAATCACTATTACACCAGAGCTTACTGTCTGTCGGTACGGATGAGAACTGAATGCATGGATGCTCTATAACATGATTCAGCCTGGTCGCTTGTGAATTCGCACTGTAATGGGATTGTGAGATCTGCGACCTATCGAATTGTATTATCTCGAGAGAAAATCGGTAGAGAAGATTGTCATGATGTTCGGGTAGAGCCTTTAGACCAATTGATAGTGCTTCGTTAAAATAATACCGAGCGTTAATAAAATCCAGCTTCAATATTCTAAAATGGAACAGTCAAAATAAATGTTTATTAATGAACGTATGCTGTAGAAAAATGTTCGTCTTATTCTACAAACAGCCTGCTTTTAAAAATTTTTTTATATGATTGTTAAAATTTATTACATTCGGATTTATGAGAATTTATGTGCATTTCTCAAGGAACAACAACCTGCTAGAATGAGTTTTAGGGCATCGCTCTAGAAAAGTTAGCATAGCATCCGCACAATAAATTTTTTAGTGCAGAATTTCAACAATAGTTGCGCTTGGCGTTTTCAAACCAGTTTCTGTATGTCCCATTCTGATACTCTTTCCGATATCCAAACTCACCATCTCCCATCCTCTACATTTTCTGAGAATTTGGATGACGTCAGATTGGTAGTTACTGAGATACGTTCTGGCGGAGCGAGGAAACTTCCTGCAAAATCGGAGTCTTCCCCGAAATATAGTCCCCAATTAACGCTGATTAAAACATTAGTCTAAAACCTAAATACTTTTTTGCCTGAGTAGCGTTGTGAACCACAGGAGCTACTCTGAATATTCATTAATTTTGTCGAATAACAGTTCGTTGTTGATAGATGTACTTGCAGAGCACAAATCTGACTCTGATATGAACATATTTAATCAAACCTATTCAGAATTTGTGGTAGAGCCCTGCGGGATCGGAGGACAAATATTTACGGGATCGAGTCCGGGATCAAGCTTAAGAACGGGTTCGGGATCGGGATTTTCTTTTTCCAGTTTACTGGAAGAGACACATGCTGTGTAAATGGTTCTATTATATTTTTTCTATCATATTTTTTTCTGCTAGTGTAACGTAAAAAAGAGAAAACATAGACTTCCATACACTCTTCTATTGGTTAGAGAGGCCATATCTTACTTTTGGTGGCCAGCTAGCTTTCAACGAATGCTGACGTTATCTGCTATTGGTAGCTGTTATTAGCAGATAACTTCTTTCACCGATAAAGTAAACAATTAAACACACACAAGGAACTGTCGTCCTCACACGACAGTCAATCAGATTCTTTCTTTCAGCCTGTCGCACACGAGCGACAGCTGTTTGTATTTTAGCGGAAAAAAATGTCGGTATTTAACGGGATTGCAATTATGCCTACGGGATGGGATAGGGATTGGCGAAAAGAATTTTTCGGGATCGGGATCTGATTTCAACCCTACGGAACGGGATCGGGACGAAAAAACTCAATCTTGCAGGGCTCTAATTTGTGGTCTAATGACGTAATCTCATTGAAAAGATAGTTTCAACTTCTGCAAACAGTTAAGCATTTCTTTTCAAAAAAAATCAAGCTTTTTCTTTATGATAACAATTGTTCGTTTCAAGAAAAGCTAAATTTTAATAGAAATTCGCCAGTACGTCAAAACTTGTGTCATCATCAAAAGTACGATACGTTTGAACGAAACATTTTTAGATGAAACAAATATTGAATAGGATTGACTAACTAACAAATTATTTTTTACCATAAACTGATAAACCGATTGAGCATATTTCTTTGCATATTCTTTTTCTTCGTTAGCGCCAAGTATTTCATACGATAGTTCAGTTTGAATAACATTCATTTTAGAACTTCGATAATGCTGTGTAATATATCCACCGGCATAAAAACGATTTTGACCTGGTTTTGGATTCATTCTCGACGGATAAACAATGCTCAGGTCATTCTCTTCTAATATTGAACCAAATGAGTTGTCACCTATCACAGATTGTCGACGATCAGTTGATGATTGAAGAAGTTGTTCAATCGATGTTTGCACATTGTCAAAATTTTCATTATTTAAATCTGCACTCGTGAGAAGATATCCAACCATTGTATAGTTACCTTGTATATGTCCATGAATGTCTAAAAGTAAACCTTTTCCGTACTGGTTCTCAATTCGTCGTATTCCCTCCGATAAAAACTGATGATAACTCTGATAGCCACTCATCGCCTCTGGATGATTGAATGTTGCTTCCGATATTTCTCTATTGAAATCAACTATTTTTCGATTCCATTGGCCAATAACTAGAAATGGATGTAAATTGTACATTTCTACTAATTGTTTCGCCACATTTTGTGCAAACTCATCGGTTATTGTATCTCTAACGGTTGTTATTTGACAATTGACTGTCGACGATTGATTACATACGTCATGAGACCAAACACATGTAGAATTCTTCAAACAGCCGCGTGTTCGATTTGGAATGTTGTCTGGAAACAAACCACCGCCATGCGGTGCCGAAATCATCAAATTAACGTTGCCTTGTTGAAATGAGAAACAGGAATTTCTGTACCCATATAACAATGGAACAAATGATGTCTGAACGTGGAAAAACAGAAAATTACTTATAATTATAAAAACAGATTTGAAAAACATAATTATGCGTACATAAAATACACAATAAAAGTTGATGTAACTCTTTTCTTTGATTTCAACAAATTTTTATATTAAAGTCAGTCCGATTGTATCATGACTGTTCTCACTGAATAACAAAATACAAAAGTAAAAGGAAAAACAAAAGAGAAGGAAAGAAAAATGTACTGACTTAGATACCAAATAATTTACTCCTTGCAGCATGATAATACATACACTTATAAAAGAAATGTTTAGCCGACTCAATGACGCCGCATACACAAAGCTGAATGAGTTTTAGTATATAGTTTTCTATTTAACAGTGGAAAGTCAACAAAAAATTGCATTGTCATGTTTGCACTTGATTACCGATCATTTAAAGTAGATGATTCTTCTTCTGAATGAAGTTCTTTCTTTCTGTACAATGTAACATCGACAAAACAAAAAGATATAATGGTTCGCCTCTTTCTTCTTGCTCTGTTTCATTCTTTCGTTGTACACCATCATACTTATCAAATCAAACTTACAACAACGTAGATGATAAGAAAGATTAATGAGACAAAACTTTTCTATAAATTTTTTAACCATTTACACATTTCTTAAATTAAATCCTTTTATAAATTTTTTAACCATTTGTACATTTCTTATTTTAAATCCTTTTCCATTCTTGTGCACAAACTGATAAAAAAGCTTTTTTAGGTGTTTCTTTTGAATAAATATTGTTTTTTAAGATTAATTATTATGTGTACGAGTGTTCGATTGTTCTATATCAAAATATTTCATCGATGATGAACTTGTGTGTCCTTTACAAGTTTATAAAACATAATCATTCTGTGCATATAAAATATGTCATTTAATTGAGTTCATCCTAGATCATTTCTAAAGATGCTCTCACATTTGGAACCTTTAATCGCACCACGAACTATACAGACGGCTTTGTATTGGAAAATAGATTAATTTTTGATCATTTTTTCCTATCAAATGAGCAGAATAAATAACAGATGATTGATAATATCAATGTTTTGTATAACAAGCCTAAGACATATAAAGAAAACATGTTTCTAACGTATCGTAACATATTTAACATTTTATTATATTGGACAATTATGTAGTCTATATGTTACATCCATGACAGATTATATGAAAGTATTAAACCTAGATGTTTGTGATACTTAACTTCGCCAATAGATTTATCATTAATGAGGATTTTGCCGTTATGTTCGGACTCTTTTCTTATATTTGTATATATATTATATTATATACATATTATATATATAGAGCTAATTTTTATACTGCAGTCGTAGGTTTATTGATAAGGAATGTATAAAATAGAGCAGTGTATAAAATATACTTTGTGTCTTATATATGCGACTCAAAGTCAAGGACTTGAAAGACACCGCTTAGCACTCATGTACATCCGATTTCGATTGTTTATCAGAATTGAGATACAAACACACATAAAATTATTAAGTCATCCCATTCTAGTCATATCACATCGCCTGTGAATAAAAAGAATGAATTTGTTATTTAAATACCACGTATGAAAAAACTTTCCACATTTTTTGTTAAATTTTAATGTATAAGTAATGCTAGTTTGTTAAAGTGAACACAGTTGTATATTCATTCTCTTCCACCCTGATATAGAAAACAAACACTGAAACAAGTACATCTTGAAAAATGCTTCTAGCGATGAACAAAAAATTATATCCGTCTGATTCTTGAACAAGATACTTTAAATTTTTCGGTTGTTGTTAGCTGCTGCTCCCATTCCAGCTAGGTTTTCTATAGCCGTTTATCTCTTAATCATTAGTTATTGTGAAGATTGTTTTTCTAACATCACTTTATTCATCAAGGATTTTATGTCAGATTATATCCGCTGAGTGCAAGACAAGCATAGTAACAAGTTAACCATTGACAGAAATCTTTTATCACTTATACATACATAAAAAAAAGTTATCGCCTATAAATCATATGACAGAAATGTTACTTATATAGTCACATTCGGGTGCTCGTTTTCTAAATTAGAGTGTAAGAGAATGAATATACAAGAGGCATGTAACATAAGAAAGTTTTCAATTTTCACAGTATGAAGAACCGGACGGATTTTGTTAAATCTCAGTACTTAAGGCAGTAAGGTCAAACGCATTTTGAGCCACAAATCTGTAAAGTTCCTCTTTTTGGCGCTTACACAGCAAATCACACAGTTACGGACAATATTAAGAATGCTAATTAATGAATATTACTTGAAAGGTTAATATACTCAGACTACTGACTCAGACTTTCATGTCTACACAAGAGGACTGCGTGCTGTGTAAAAGGTTAGAATTAAATTCAAATGAGAGCACTGCAGGTTGAAATCTAATACAACCTATAGGTTAGGTTCGGATTAGGTTGCAAAAGTTATAGGCTAGGTTCGGTTGTAGGCTGTGTTTTACTTCTTTTCAAGTTTGCACAAGCGAAATTTTTTCTGATTTTGAGGCATCCATGCTTAATTCTTTGAAAGGCAAAAAACTCAGTGACATGTATATTTGCTTTTGTCAAATATACGTGTAATGTTCTGTGGGCTGAAAACAAAAATCACAAGATAGGTTAGGTTAGGATTAGGTTCTGAAATTTTCCATAGGTTAGGTTAGGATTAGGTTCTGAAATTTTCCATAGGTTAGGTTACAGGTTGCCAAAGAGTGGCAACCTGCAGGGCTCTGATTCAAATGAAAGCGCTACTACATGACAGGGCAATACAAGAACAAATTGATTTATCTTGATACTGTCAGCCGCTTTGATAAGAAGAAAAAGTGTGTATAACTACGAAATGGTACGTTACAGGGCGGAAAAAAATACTGTATTGTAGAAAAACGTCAAAAACCTATGAGAAAAACCATAGAAATTCTTTGAACATCAAGGTAAAGTTGTTTCCATGCATCACACGCGATAAAAACTACACAAAATATAGGACGTACCAATAATCGTAGAAAAGAAGCTAAAATTTGTCTGAGGTTTTCTAGAAAACACTTTAAAATTTGTTCTAAATGCTCTTTTAAACATTCAAAGACCATTGGGTTTTGTTCAGTTCTTGAAACTCTATCGATAATTACATCTTAAAACTCCATCACATGCTTCTTAAGTGCTGAAAAGGGAACTAAAATATAAATTTTAGTATGTAGGTTTTTGAAAAAGCTTTAAAAAACCATTTTTATTCAAGGCCTGGAACTCACCAACTATCCAGATATATTCAGCTTTTTGAGCTCTATCCAACCATGTTCTTGAAAATGTTCCAACTAGTTTGTGAATATGGGGAGTGCAGTTTTAAGAAAAGTTAAAATCTAAAATTTTAAATTTTAAATAAAACTTTCAGAGTTTCAGCTTGAGAGTCCGACTTTATTTTAATATGTAGTTCAGTCAATTCTGAATAAAACGGCTAATTTGAAATATTTAGTAATATTTAGTGCTTTCAAACAATAATCCATACCTGAATCATCGTCACCTTGTTCAATGTATATTGCTCTCATTAATTTATATGGTAAAATATTAATTGGATGATCACTAGAAAAACATCTATTTTTAGTTATTGTTAATGTTTTTAAATATTCTAATGATTTTTCTCTATTCTTTAATTCATAATAGAAATCAGCTAATAATGTGTACGATGTATCATCTAATGTTGGGTCATCTTCAAAATTACATTCTAATGATTGTTGTATATGTTTAATTGCGTATAATTAACGTTTTTGACTACTGTAGATTAAACCTAAGTTTTCATGCAAAACGCGTAAAGTAGAAAAATCAGTTGTTGACTTATTTTTAGATATTAATATAGCTTCTAATTCGAAATTTGTGTTATTATCATTATTTATTATGTTAAACAAAGTCATCAAGTTAAATAGTGCCTCTATAAACCACATATAAATTAATATTTTCATTAATACAAATATTATAGGCGTCATTTGCGTACCGTCTACCTAATTCTATTTGGTAATCTAATCCATAAGCAAGAGATAAACGAGTATAAATTATCGATTTTCAATTTAAATCTTCTTGCTGTTGTAATAATAGTAAAGTTTGTAAATAATTAATTACTTCAGTATATTTTCCCATACAAATTAATAAATGACCAAAATTAATTAAATAATCAGTTTCTGTTTGATAATTAGTTGTTTCTTCTACGAATGTTTTAATCTAATCATTTTTTAAATTTTGATTAATGCTTATCAATGAAACACTCCATAAATTATGTTCATTATTAAAATCCACGCTAATTATACGAAATGTTGATCCTAAACTACAGAACTAAAGTAATATTTTTAATCTGCCACAAATAACAAGCCATAGTCTGAGCAGAGATGGTACTTTTTCTTTCTTTTTTAGCTTCAACATTTCTTTTCTAAGGAGAAGAAAGACAGTGAAAAACTTGTACAACATTACTGTTCGAAGGTGTCAGAGATGCTCAGGAACATTGAAGCAAAAACACGCTCAGGGAAAGAAACATCGCCTTTCACAGCCATCATCTTCCTATTCACTTAGTACTTAAGTGTAAAGTGGAAGACAATAGGTTTTCTGTAGAGCTTTTATTTATGATACACGTTGACTATATTCTTCTCCAGACAAATAATATAACATATTTAGACCTTTGTTTTCATTGAACAATACAGTTAGAAGACGGACGAAGTGGATCATTCGGCTCAAACTAGAACTGGTTAGATCTTGCGTCTGTTGAAACGAGCGGTTCTCACACATCGGAAACTGTGCACTGAGCTCGTCGAAATAGAGACGAAAACCGCGGTTTCAGTCTCAGAATAAAAATCCAACATGTATGGTCGAAGCGATCAGGCATGGACAGGTCCGAGTCTGTCTAGAAGTTTTTTGAGGACTCTGACTGGCTGAGTTTGAAGTTCTGGTATTTCGAGTCCGATCGATTCAACTTTTAACATAAATGAACACGCAATGTTTTTTTATTTTGACACATTGATAAGTAATCCTTTGCAGCTCATTGGTACATATTTGTACCATCAAATAAAATCCACCCTCTTGGTATAACTTTTGAAGACTGTATTATAATATAAATTGGATTTAACGAAACAATGACATATCGATCTAAAGCGCTCACTTGCAGTGTGTTCGAAAGATTCCGTCATATATTTGCTGTTTATTGGCTCTTCCTTTAGAATAAAAAGTTTTATAATCCCACAAGAGCAAGGGTTATAATATCAACTGAATTTATCTAAGAATTCAAATTGGATCTGATTGTTTTTCCAAAAGATCCGCTGTCAACTTCTCTACAAGAATTGATCAAATTTATTTCTATAGAAACCTAAGGAGAAAAATTCAACAAAGAATACTCAAGATGATGAAACGGATCATCTTAATATAATATAATACTAAGACAGAAGAATAAAAATGAAAAAAACTGTGTGGTCATACGATAACAGAGCGTAATTTTTTATGTTTGATCTTTATTTGTGGTTCGTAAGAGAACCTTAGTCAAGTTAGTAACATTTTTCGATGTTACTTCCCTAATTTATTTTTCCTGATTCCCCATATGAAGAACTGATCCTAGAATTATTCTTTAGAGCTTGATCCAATATCGAATGGCCAATAAAAAGGTTCATAATCAAGGACACCTTAAAGGGCGCCAACAAATTTTGCAAACCTATCTAGTTTTTTCTCTTAACTAACGGAGCTCTGATTTACACTGCATTCGTTACTGTCTGTATGAATTTATGTAGAAAAAGCATAACAACAGGAACAGTGTAAATCATTTTATTTTATTTTACTTTAAATTTCGACATTTCGATTTATTTAAAATCATTTTCACATTAATAACTTGAATTACTTTTTGTTGTGATAGTTTAGAGTGATATAAAAAATTTCGTGAGAATAACACACACGCACACATGGCACAATAACGATCTTCCCGATCACACATCACCTAAAATAAGTTCGTTCGTAAACCGTATACCATCACTATATAATCTTTACAAACGAAAACGCGAGTGTTAGAGAAAAATTACTTTAGTTTACAATATAAAAACAAAGCAAATGTTACACGTTGCACACAGTGTAAGACAAACTATGTATGTACATTCCAATTAAAGTCTATTTCATTTAATCTACAAAGAGTGAATGAAGACCACTGAACTAGAATAGAAAAAAAGGCAAAAACTACGTACATTGTTCGATCAGATAATGCATCAAAGGAAATTCAACAGACATATTTTCAAGTACTTCATAGATGACTAAACCCGCATATGACTCAGCATTAAACAAATATTGTACAACACTATAGTGACGAATTAATTTTGTCCAAACACTTTCACCTAACACAAAGCGAATAAACGCAAATTATAAAAGCGATAGTTTCAACCTTTCATTCATATAACTTCTAGATATGTATGAGAGAAAGCTGACACTATAGTGATACCAGCTGTTGGGATTACCTATGTTCAATAACAGAAAGGAATTATGTGACAATGCCTATCTTCTGCACGTACCAAGCTATAAGCAATCATAGTCCGTCTATTAAAATCATATCTCGACAACTAAACGTTCGATCTGAGCAAAACATTTACAAAGTGGACCAAAAGTCTTGAAGCCTATGTAAAATAATTTCTTTTGATGATATGCAAAGATGAGAAACAAAGAATATTATAACTCTTTTCATAAAACACATCTGGTATAATACAGAGATGGATCAGATCGACGAGAATGATATACGTGGCGGAATGGTCAACGATGTGGCATCAGAAATGTGGTATAGGCTTCAGGACTTTTGGCCCACTCTGTAAGTACTGTCCATCGGTAGACAAACAAATGAGAAAATTTCTGTTGTATGCATCAATAGAGCCCGTCGTACTAATCAAGAATCTTGACTAAATCTTGGGATTTTCTTACCAGAATCGAGACACAACTTTTTTAATCAAGGTATCTCAAGATGTTTAAAAAATTGATATTTTATCTGTCCTATACAAATTCTGCCAGAGAAAACATTATACAACATATATTTTATGAAAAGAGTTATAATATTCTTCGTTTCTCATTTGTGCATACCAGCCATGCTTTAGAAAAGTGCATCACTCCGACTATGTACAAATTCGACCTTCAAGACCCCTAAGACCTGCTGGGATAGATATCTCTTTCAATAGAGATGATCTCAAGAGTTCTACAAATTAGCTTTGTTTTCAGTATTTTGTTATAGTTTTTAGTAAATGTCCGTCAAAATTCTTCAACAAAATTTTTCGAAATTTACTCACAGTTTTGCTCGGAGAAAACTTAGACCTTATTAAAACTTGATCTTGACAAGATTTTAATAAGGTTTCCAATACAGATAAATGTAAATAAATGTTTATAAATGATCAAGAGAAAACACAGATTTCCTCCTTAACATGCGAACTTTGACCACGAATCATTTTTACTGTAATGGAGTGGAATACTTAATTGATTCAAACGTTTAATGATATTTCTCTGTTATGAAAAATCATCTCATTCTTGATCAATGCTCACACATGCAAACATTTATTTATACCAAAATGAATTTTTCTGACGTAGATTATCAACTATTAGTAATAAAATATCACTATCAAAAGTCAACATCAGTGAGTGAAATAAGACACTGTGGAGAACGGATTACTCTGACTTTATTAAACACATCGAAAAATGTGTTTAGGAGGTCTAAATACTGGTTAATTTGATTACAAATGTTTAAAGAAAATGCTGTCCCTATCCAAACAATGCAAGCTATAAAATTCCCCTGATGTCAACCATGTGGGGCTTTACGTTTAAACAAGATTGTTTTCTTGTAATCAGTTTTGCAAGTCCACTATCATAAACTTAGACGCACTGTTCTACCGTTTATTTATCGATAGAGATAGCATTATTACTAAACCAGAACTTTATTATTCAAAGACTTTTGCTATTTCTTGAGATGAACATGAGGGTAATTCTGTAAATCGTCTATCAGACATTCGATGAACCTTATCTGGATCATATGGCAGTTTCGGAATCTAAATCTTTCAGCCATCCAATTACATCTGTCACCTTAGTTTTCAGAATAATCGCAAGGAATCCTTTAAGTTTTCATGGTCAAAAACGTATTTCTAATTCTAAATTCTAGTAGTCATCAAAACTGACGTAAACTGAACTTTAATTAAGAATTACTAGTGCGAGGGCACTACTTAAATTGTTCTAGCTTGAACATCTACAAAAGTTGTTAGGCTTAATTTTTACATACCTCTGTGTTATGAATATTCCACTTACTCGAACTAGCGATATGGACTGATTTTTCATTTTAGAGGTAAGAACTTCATAGATTTTGAGAAATCATTAGCTAAAAAGGGCTTGAGATAATACTAATATTTCCTCATATTGTACGAAATAGAAAGCCTCGTGAGAGTTCGGGTAAAAACAGGACTTTCATGGAATTTCTAACATCGACTAGTTATTTGAGTTCACCTCTTGAAATCATGTGTAGAGCCCTGCAGATCAGGACAGGTTTAGGTTACAATTTCGCAGTTTAGAACATACGATTACACGTTACAAAAATTTTTACAGAACAGGTTACACTGTCCGTAATCTGTTTCAACTTGCAAAAAAATACATTAAGTATTAAGCAAAGTTATCATTCTCGAAGGATGAGACATTATTAGACTAATGAAAGAAAGATTCATTGATTTATCCTCAACTTGGATTATTAGCAACGTCATTACTCGGTGTTAGCAATATCTGAACGTGCGTATAACTAGAAACATTAAGATAGTTGTTGAATCCAGATGTTGCTGACAATATATTACTGATCAGAAATTTCAGGGATATGTGATATGTCATATGATATGAGATATGTCTTTTGTTGTTGAGTCTTGCTGCGCAAATAGAGTAAATGAAAAGAAGGAAAATATTTGTTCTTTGATGTTCATTTTGGAGCAATTCTTTTCGTAGAACAGGACAGGTTACGAAAACAGTAGGGTCTGATTTGTGAACATCTGCAATTTACATAATATATCTAGATGTATATCTAGATGTTCAGATATTCAGATATTCTGATATTCAAGTTAGATATTTAGATATTCAGATGTTATAGAAATGGGGAAAAGGGAAGGTGGGGGTGGCAAGGGAAGATGAGAGTGAGGCGCTTCCTGATATTCGCCACCGTGAAAGAAAAGAGGAAGATATCTGAATATCTGAACATCTAGATATTATGTAAATTGCAGATTTTCACAAATCAGACCGGTCTCTACGAAAAAGCATTGGAGGTTAGAACAGGTTACAGATTACAAGGTCGACTGTTAGGACAAGTTATAGGTTGTGGAATTTTCACAGGACAAGTTATAGGTGCTTCAGAACCCCTAAAAGGGGATAATTGTTATAAAGATGCATCCAGAAAAATGTGATACTCAAAGCAATACTTCTACAGATATCAAACAGACCAGAATAAACTTAAAGTAAACGTGACATCTTTATTAAATATGTCATGCACAACGACTTTAATCACTTTAACAGAGAGTATTGCTTTTATAGAACAGTATACAGCTGATCTCTAATTTATGAAGATTTGTACTCGTAATGCTACTTTTTTACTGACAATAATTATTATAGTTGTCATCGATTAGCTCAAATATTTACATTCCCAAAAAATTCAGATGAGACGTGAATTTTTCAGATGTATTTATCTATCAAGCGGAAAACAATTTTTGTTTGGTTTACCTGTGTGAAATTTGCAGTGCAATACGTATCAATGATGAATCGATCTGTATTTGGAGGTATTGCTATGCCTATTAGAGCCGACTCATTTCCAAAAGTTAGATAACCTAAATCATTTTCTCTTAATTTGGCAATTAAATAAAATCTCGTACCGGAACTATCAATAATATCTAAAATCAGTAGAAAAGAAACATTTTTCCATAAATTAAATTTTGGGTTCTAAACGTACTCGATGATAAGTTTTGATTATCGTAATGCATTTGTAATAAATAATATTTGACAGGAAAATCACCACTGACTGGATAGCCAGCTTCTTCTGGAAATTTGACCATCTAATTATCAAATGTAATCTATACTACATTAAAAACAAAATTTAAATTAAACTTATTGTATCACCACCAACAGCCCATGCCATTGCAATAGTATGTTCCATTTTTCTCGTTATCAAATGGACGCTGCTACTTTCGATAAAAAAATATGAATATTAAAGCAACAGATGGTTTTAACTGAATTATTTACCTTAAGGATAGTGTAATAAATGAACAATTCAATATTTGATGCACATTTTTCAAGATATGTATATACGGTATCATAAAGGCCATCCGGTAGATTGTTATCATCAAATACAGACGTTGAATCACATTCATATATTAATAAATGATGAATTAAACCACGATTTTTATCATTTATTAACATTTTATGCTAGAAATAAAAGATATCAATAAAAAAGCATCTATTATATTATTTATCTATTTCTACCCACAGCTATAGCATGACGTTTTTCTACATACGTTGGTATTTTAAATATTTTACAATAATATGTTGTATCAGTAGGTGGTACTGTATACTAAAAATAGAGAATTTAAATAAATTATGTAAACAGCAAAAACTATATTATTTTCTTTTCATACGTTATTTAAACGAAATTCAAATGTGTCTGGTCCATTAAATTTTGAATCGTCTGGTGGATTTACATAAGATAATAATGGTATTAGTTTAGAGCCACTTCGTTCATCATGATATTGTATGTCTTCACCATCACGAACATCAGTTAAACCATAGGCAAATATCAAAATATTTGTACCCGACTATAATAATGCAAAAAACATTATAGTAATTACAAAAAAACATTAATCAATTACGTTTATTGGTACGTCCGTTGTATCACATGTATCAAGTTTTCGTTTAAATTCTATGGCTGTCCAACCATTTTGTTCTGTACAAAGTGAATACTGCTGTGTTTTACTTATTACTCCATCTACGAAGTGGTTCTGTTGTTTGTGCCGATTCACTGTAACCGTTTGAATTTGTTACTTGAATGTATATTTCATTGTCATTGCGGACCCGTAGTTTAACGTCATTGCGGACAAGTGTTGATCTACGGGTAAGAGAAGAATTTGACTTTTTAAATGCGTCCAAATACATAGTCCACTAGATGTAGTTTTTCACACTGATTCCAAATCTGGGCTTGTTTGTACGAAAAAGTGCTTTCTTGACGAATAAATCTCTCAAATACCCGAAAACCACTAGGGGTTTTGGAAAATCCATAAAACCGTCGAAAAGAGTTGCGAGATTTTGTGAGATTAGCATAAATAGCGTAGTATCTGAGGAACATTTTTGATATATTTGTATATTGTTTTTGAGGGTGGCTAAGGATGGTGATGCGACTGCACTAGGGTAGTGTCATTTCCACTATCGTTATGAGAAATCCATGATCTGCTACTTATTGAATTCGATGTCAAAGTACAAACATTCTATTATTAGTAGATAGCTGAGGAGCTACTGATTTTGAATATGT